ACCTCCCCCTCCTCTCCCTCTCTCTTTGCTCTTATCCTGGCGGCGACGCAACGTAATAGCGGTGGACCGCGGCGCTCTTCCCTCGCAACAGCTATTACGCTTCCAAGAATAATTATCAACCCTCGACACCTACGCTGCCCGAGTATTCGAATTCTCGCCACGATTTCCTCGCCCCGAGATACGAAGAAAACGAGCAACCGGTGGCGAGTTCGGGCTTGTTGTCCACCTCTTGCGAACAACGGGCCGCGACGATTGGCGAGGAAGAGGCGTGGTCGATGGAAAGGGCGTCGTCGAATCTCGCGTGGAACACGTTAGGGGCCAGAGGGAAAAATTGACACTGGTCGACGAAATTGAATCGTTTCGGTCAACGACGAGCGGAGAAACAGGATATCGGGAAGTTTCTCGCGCTTTCTATGTCTCGATCAGAGGAAGGACGATTAAAGTTCAGGGAGAGGAAAGTCGGGAAAGGTGAAAGTTTTTGACGAATTTCAACCTTCGAAGCGAAAGAATGGTTAATTTGGTGTTCGACGATTCGAAAGCGAAGAGGAAGGGAGGGGGAAAGAGAGAGAGGGAGAGTCGAGTCGAGACGAGAGTACGATTAATGAGGGGAGAGGAGGGATTGACGCGAGTGGAGAGACACGAAACGTTAATGCCTCCTCTTGCAATGCGTCCTCTGTTATACGCGATAATTACGCGAATTCTTTTTCTGCCTCTCGATGCGATAGGTGCAATTTTCCATGCCGAGGATAACGGATGAGGATACGAAAGAGAATCGTCGAACGAGAATCGCATCGAACGGATCCAACAGGTAGAATTCTCTTCCCTTTGTCGGCGAATCGCAAGGATTATCTCCGGTAAGCTTCTTCTCCGCTTTCTTCGACGATTCGACCTTAAGACGACCCCCTCAATTTACATCAACCCTTTCAACCTGCAAATAAGCCGATAATCTAGCCGCTTCGATCTATCTTCGCGAGTCGATTTCGATCGAACGCGAAGGAACAACCGGCGGAAAAATATAAATTCGATCCGAGTTTTTACCGCTCTTTTTCATTCTCTCGCTCGTTTCCTTTCGCATATACGTGTACAATGTACGTATACGTATACGGAGAGCGAATCGAATCGAATTTCATCCTTTCGCTTTTGGTTTATTCGAGGGGGGCAAACCGTTTCCAAT